ATTCTCGCTGTAGTATTGTTGCTGCTGCCATGTCGTGAAGGCGCTGTGTTTTGTGAAAGTGAAACTTTGTTTGGCCTTCGAAAAGAGGACTATATCCGCTTCATCATGCCTAGAGATGATTAGTGCTGGTCGCTGAGGAAATACATCAATTTCGCGCAGTGGATTGCCGGTTCGGCTTTCACCGTAGACAAAGCGGAGTCCAGCCCGGGGTCGTCACATGTGGTTGCCACAAGCCCGCCGTCCGCTCCTTCGTCGAATCCGCCAGCCTCCACTCACTCTAGCCCACCATGTGTTTTGTTGTGAAAGCGAAACTACTTTTTGGCCTTCCAAAAGAGGACACGACTAGAAATCAGTGGTTTAGTTGTATTTACAACACTGTTCCAGAACAGTTCAACCCAAATATTCATTTTTGTGCAGTTCATTTTATGGAGGACTGTTTCCTGATCCTGGTAGAGTAGACTACAATGCCGGCTGTTCTGACTCACAGACTGTAAATAAGTTTTCATTTAAAGGGTTTGCCACTGACGATTCAAACGCAAGTTTTGAGCAGTGTAGAGTAGCGCTTTGTCATTTCTCCGATCACAAATGCAGACATGGTTTTAGGTTTACCCGGTGCGATGCAACGCGTAAAAAGACCGTATAAGTCATTATAATTCGTAATTATGTCCCCACTGGATGCAACAAATGCCTCGTTTATAATGGGTTTTAATGTTTTTGTCTCGTCGCTCCGGCCGGACATGGCATCACAGTATGTTAAGGGGTGTAACATTTCCGTCACACGCTTGAGGTATACGGCCAATCACAACGCACTGGATAGCTGGCCAATCAGAGCACACATCGCTTTTCAGACCGATGAGCTTTGTAAAAATCGACGCGTTTCAGAAAGGCGGGGCATAGAGGAGAAACAATGTAGAGTATGTGGAAAATGTGTTTTTTGAACTTTAAACCACATAAACACATATCACACCAAATACACAAAATAATGTTCTTTTTAGAAACCTCATATGACCCCTTTAAGTATAATTTTCGAGTAGTTTTTAGACCCCTGTAAACAGGTAATGCCCGCCTTCATATATTTTATTGGCCATCTCGTGGGTCTCATGCTTGGAGCAGCAGTGTGTTCAACTTCATGCGGAGCTGCGCACACCGATCGGCAAGTATTTACGCTGTGTAAACAGCAATTGAATGCTATACACACCAAGTCAAAATAGCATATTTTCTTAACGATAGATGCTATTTACACTAAGTGGAAATAGCAGTATTTTATTTATTTTTTAGCAATGTGTTATTTACACTAAGTGCATATAGTGATAGATTCTATTTACATTATGTACAAATAGAAGTATTATTTTTAACCTATGAGCACCTGTGAGGCATTTTATTTTCCACTTTTCGAATATTTCCTTCATTTCTATTCAAATTAATTCCTTTCCGATGTGACGTGATGTGAAAAGGGAGAAGAACGAGTTTGGCAAAAGGTTGATTCAAACTGGGTCGATCACATCAAAAAATTAACTGCTAAAATGATGCCCTTTATTACCTACTCCACTGGATCCGTCGTATAAATGCCGTCTTTTGTAATCTTGTGTGGCCCAACCAAATGTTGGTGGGTGGAGTTAGTGTAAATAGCCTCTGCCGTCCCCCTGGGCGGACCCCCAATCAGCCCGGGCCCATATGAAATCCCTGCATACCCAGATGCTACGCCCCTGAATTCACATGTATGTATATAATAATATACATTTTTGTCCCCACACCGGAGCACCACCCGAGTCTTTTCCACCCATTTCAACGAGTAATGCTTGCTGCTTTAACTTCCTGCGTCTGCTACTGGGTTGTCAGTTGCCAGGTTGAGGTCACAAATGGGTTGAAATTTGTATGATGTGTCGATTGTGTGAGTAAGATGCATTTCATACAAGATCTGGCAACCGGACAACCTTGGACAAATATACTGACGTGATTATTCATATAACGAGGTCTGGGCAATTCAAATTACGGGAAGGTGGCAGGAGAAGACTCCTGGGAAGAAGCGGAGTGTTGAACAGCAGCCCATCGCCGTCTCAGATTTCGGAAACACGAGAATTAGTACTTTTAGGGTTAAAAAGGATAAAAGAGAACGGTTTAGTACCCTTGAATTAGCATGTTACTTTTAAATGTTATATTTTTATTTCTAAAATGCTTGATAAACAAGTTTAAATGTATGTAACATTGAAAAATATGCTGTATTCAATTTGTCTTATATTTTTGTCCATGGGCGATTTCGCTTATTAATCCCCTTTTACTTATTAACCTCTAGTAATTCTGTCTGTGTGTGTGTGTGTGTGTGTGTGTGTGTGTGTGTGTGTGTGTGTGTGTGTGTGTGTGTGTGTAAATTTCCAATTTATTTTTGGTACATTTTAAGAGAGCAATAGACATTTTTAAAACAACCCAGCATGTTAGGGTCAAACATTTATATCTCTTTAAAATACATCAAAACAGCACAGAAACAGTATTCAGTTGAAGAAAAGATGAAAGTTGTTCTCAGTACAATCATCCCCATTTAAATCATAAAGTTTGAAAAAATATATATTTAAAATCATGTGTAAGGCCACTGAGACAGCACGCTGCTGTTGCACATAAAATATTAATATTTAGAACAGTGCAAATACAAACACCATTAGAAACTCATAGTTCAGCATCACACACCGTGATATGGGTTCAAAGTTTGTTTATATAGCACATTTCATACACAATGGTAATTCAAAGTGCTTTACATAAAAGAAAATAAAATAAAAATCACAACAGTAAAACAAGGAATTTAAAAACTTTGAAAATTATGAAAAAATTGATTTAAGAGGTTTAAAATTAATTTAAACGGTTAAGAATAGAAAACGATTATACATAAAATATAGTGCAATCAGTTTGGACATTGCACAGTGCTCATTCAATAAATGCACAGCTAAACAGATGAGTTTTGAGTCTGCATTTAAATGTGACTAATGTTTTAGCACATCTGATCTCTTCTGGAAGCTGATTCCAACTGCGGGCGGCATAATAACTAAAA